CCACTTAGGACTTTTTGGAGCTAATCAACAGATCAGCTGGTAACATCCCTTTGTACCTTCCTTGGGAAAAGTTGTTTAAGAACAGCTTAAACTAATGAGAGAGGCATTTTTTTTCCTTGGTGGGGTGTTAAATGCTGTGTTATCAACTCCCTGCTGGGCTGGTCAGGACCAGCAAGAGTGGGGAGGGAACCCTTCCCTAATCAGAGAATCATACCGGGGCCTGCCCACACCCCAGCCCCCCTCATCTCAGCACTTTTGAAGGAAAGGGAGAGCTGCTCTAGCACACACCCCCCACCCGCCCTGGCTTCTAGCCTGAGCCACTGCAGGCATGTGCCTGCATTTTCTCAGTCCAGAGGGGATATTTGTGCGGTTACAAACCAATTCAGCCTAGCCAGGTTAGACTAACCTGCAACGATTGAATCAATTCAGGCTCAGGCTTTTTTGAACGTCTGTCCCTAGCCAAAAGGGAAACATTTTTTATGGAAACTTCCTTTGACTACTGTCATTTCCAAAATGTCATGCAAAGTGAAACTAACTACCAAACCTGATTTTATAAATGTGCTTTGCTTCGGCCTTTACAAAAGGAAAGGTTTGCTCTTATGAGCTATAAGGTTTATGATGATCAAAAAAGAACAATCAATAGCAAGCGCTTTGTATGTGGATTGGGTTCATTGGTTGTGTAAATGATGCTGGAATGTTTTTGAGAAAGGTCAAATAATTACTTGGGACATGTACATGAGCTGAAATACAACTTGCATGATTTGTTGTTGGTATAACTAATCCAATCACCCTTGTGTCCAGTTTGGACCAGCAGGAGTGCAGAAAGGAAAAGGGATGTGGTCAGTGTAAACTGGAGTATACCTGCCATGACAAGTAATGCAGTGATGTACAGGTAACAAACCTCATAGTCTAAAGTGAAGTACATTCCCTGCACTCTCCAGTTTAATCCTGGCATAACTGTGATTTTTCAGGTGGCATGAATCACTTGCACTAGGTCAGACACGCTAATTAAAGTACCTGTGTAAGACCCCTAGCCTCTCATTACTGATACACAATTTAGTATTCTCAAAGCAAAAGGGCAATATACACAAATGGTATAGTTTTGCCACTGCCAATCCTCTGAGATACCCAAGGGAGTCAGTAATCTCTCAGACCTTTATAAACTCCCAGTTGCCCAGTAATTAGCCCACTGAGTCAAATGAATAGAAAATCAGGAATGTTTCTCTAGGTTTGCTTCTTGATTTTTATTTAAAACATTCACTCTAAACTAACTTTTCCACTCCCTCCCCCACTCCTGTTAGAAGCCCCCATTGCTGCAAAGCGGCATTGCTCACACAGAGGGATATTCAGACAAACAAATGATACTGTGCTGAAAGGTAGCAAGGGACCTCCCACACATCTGTTGCTCCACGTCTCTGCCCCTATCCTTCTGTAAGTGGAAGTTAAACTGGAGTGAGCTGCCTCAGGTTACCTTCTGCTGGTTATAGAAGAAGAGTGGACATACAAAGCAATTGCTGAGGAACAGCTGACACAGCAAGTCCCCTCCCTCTCTCCTTTTAACTCTGTATATTTTGTTCATCTAACCATATGCTCAAGAATACACCCCAAAAACCTGTGTGAGCACCACTGATTCTCAATTAGAGTGCTGGGGCAACCTGGAGAACTGTGAGATCTTTCGAAGGATGCTGCGAGGTATGAGGAGATAAGTACAGGCTCAGGTTCATCCCTGCCTGGCTGCCCTGCCCTACTGCCTGGTCCCTCTGCAACAAGGTAAGCACTGTAATAAATGAATTACTTTTTGAAATGGGGTGCTACTCAATTCGCAATGAAGGGGTGTCTTGAGTCAAATGAGGAGAGCCACAAGTTTAAAAAGGTTCAAAACACTGCCCTATTCAGTCCGGCTATACCCACCTCCCAAGACAACAGCAGATTTTATATCACCAACATCAATACTATCACCTCTGCTTGATTCATAAGCAGAGTTATAGTTTGCACAAATAGCCCCACTTTGCAGGTGAGCAATAAGAAAGAAAAATGAAGCCATTTTTTCCCAAGGTCTCACAGTGCATCAATTGAGTAGCCAGGCTTACAGCAATTGATTTCCTAGCTCCTAAGACTGAGCTTTACTAGCATGCCTTGCTTCTTAACATTTATTCTGCATCTCATACCTTCTTCCCTCTCCAGCACTCAGCTGCAGTACCTGACCTGGGTGCTGGGAAAGAGGAGACACAAGGGACTCTCCTCTCAGGCTGCTGAATGACAGCTGTATTACTCTACATAGCAGCTGCTACTCCAGTTTAATGGCTACAGCAGAAGCTCTCTTCAGTATGCAGAAAAGACTAGAGGATTTCCACAGTAACAGACTCTTGGGTCTACATCCCCACTAGCTTTTCCACAAGCATTGCTTAGCTCTACAGGGAGCCTCCATGGAGCTAAGCTCTGTACTACGGAGGGGCCACCTAAAACCCTCCTGGCTTTCTTGGCATAGGGAGGCCTGCACTTTTCTACAGATAGTTGGACTGCTGTTACAAAGCTCTCTGCACCTGCAGCAGAGAGGTAAAGACTTGCATTTGGCTTTATATGCATAGACAAAATATAATCTAATGTAGCAGATGTATTAAGTATGGATGGACCTGAAGTTTTCATTTGTTTTGCAATAGAAATGAAAACGCATGGCCTTATAATAGGTGAACTCATTGCCTATTTCATGTCAAGGAACAGAGCTAAGGATTTGGTAAATAAAACCCACCTTTGGGAACCAGACCATGTACTGCTCCCGTTGATCAATATGTTATCACCAGGGAGAGGCAAGTGCCCTCAAGAAACAAAGCAAAGATAAAATTTCTTGAGTGGACAGATGGAGGGACAGTAACTGATCCCTTATTACACACTGCCATCTGGAAGACATTTAACACAAACTGACCCCTGCTTTATATGCATCATTATTTCTCCTGTCAAAGTGCAGACCATCTGTATTATAAGAGAGCCTTTATAAGCAAATATTCACATGGAAGCAAAAGGAACTAAATATAAGTAAATATGTTGCAAAAAAGTACTTTGTAATTACATTTTATTGCAGCTGAACTGGAATATCATCAAGCCATCTGTCTTGAAATGCACTACGCTTTTAAAAGATCAACACACAAGCAAAACCAATGAGAAGGTGTACTGATGCAGAGAGATTATATGTACTTGCCATAAAGAAACTTTTCAAATTAATATTAGCAGCAATTCTGGACCAATTCTATATGAAATGCTACAAAAGCAGTAGCAATATCACGCCTTGGTTACCTGAATAAGCAAGCATCAGGAGAAAGTTAGGGGAGGTGGTGGTGAGACATCAGCAAAAAATAAACTTAATATAGGTATTTCTCTGGGTCTTGGCATCTGCTGGAGGAAGAATCTGATCATCGGTGTGAGTTCGTGTGGTTTCCAGGAAACTACTAATGCAAATCCCATAGAAGGTGCTCACCAAGAGAGCTAATTGGTACTGTATAGACCTTCTTGTTTCTGTTCCAGAAGGAGCAGAAAACTAAATATAAGACAGCAGAGTATCACTTACAATTTAAATAGTGCTCAAGAGCATTGTGGATGCTGCTGGCACTGGTGGTATGACCCCTTCTCATGTCTACATTCAGAAAGAGGCCCCTAGCTAAACTCATTAAGAGTTCATTCTTTTTCTAACCTGCTCATCATTACAATTCAATCAATAATGGTGAGGGAGCCCTGTACCAGTGTTAGCCATAATCAAGTATATTCATAAAGACTCAAAATAAATGAATTAATTAGTTAAAATCTTACAACACCGGAGGAGGAAAAAATCATTATCTGCTTCCCCAGCATATCTCCTAATTTCTCCCAGGTTTGTTGGGAATGGGTTTTTTTGTCCTCAGTTCTCTTTCCAGACTCAATGTTCCTTCCTGCGATTAAAGGAATGTAAGATTTGAAATGCAAGAGAAGGAAAGCCCACAATACTAAGGGTTAACATATTTAAAAGTTTCAATCATTATAGCAGCCTGAGTCCCATTTTCAAATGGGATTTGGATACTTTTGAAACCAAACCTAAGAGGGCTCAGGTTTCTTGGGCTCAAATCATTTTGGGAAGTGGGACTTAGGCTCCAAAACTGTTTAAAATCTGAAAATGTAACCCTAAACAGTAACTGAAAAGTAGCTAGTTGGGGTACCCACAGAACCTAGCCATAGCAGCATGTAGTTCAGCTTCAGTGAAGCTCCCGTGTCCATAAGGTTTTGCAACTCATGCTGATTTCTATGTAGTCACGCTACTGGTACCCCAGATAGCCAGCTGAACCTAACTTGGGTATGTGTCCACTCCAGTACAGTCACAGTAGAGATACAATAGAGACATATCCCTAGACTACCTCTGTAGCTGGAAGTTAAAACATGAACTTGGATACCACAGGCCTTTCCTCTCTGGACAACCCAACTACAGACAACGTAACTAAAGGCAACAGTAATCGTCATTCAACACAATAATAACGGGGCTTTCCAAACCATTCTAGGTGACTAACTTTGATAACATTAGTATGGTTCCTGCAGAGACCTCATCACAAGCAAAGACTCAATATAAAAAGGCTTAAGCAAAAACAGCCAAGGTACCTTGCACCGACAAAAAGATACGGTATGTTAGTGAAGGTATAAATTTCACTTGCCTGTCCCATCCAACCCTATTGTGCCCCACAGTTAAGGTATTTTCTCCCCACCTCTCCATCCCCAAGTAAATGCATCTTGCTAACTTCCTTTGGAGTTTCTGCCTAAAAGGGCAGAGTGAAATTCTAATACACATTCCACAGATGCTTGAGGGACGGAGTCTGCCAAGTGCAGGCACAGATCCTGCATAGCATTTAACTGTCCTGGGCACACCCTTATCCCACAGGCATTTCTTGGCAAATGATAACCCCCGTATTCCTCCCCCACCCATAGCAAAAGGAAGTTTGCCCCTGCTACCCACCACCATAGCGGCACTGAATTGCCTACTGTACCTTGCTGCAGTCAGCTCAGTGGCAGCCAGAGTAGCAGCATGTTCACAAGACGGAGAAACAGCTAAAGGTTGTTCGGAGAAATGAGAGGAAGAAGCCAATTGTATGTCATCACCTGGCACAGGAGAACTGCAGAGGAAAGATATGGAAAAATGGCAGACTTAGAGGCCTCTGTAGAATTAGTCATCTGTAATCTCTACATCTGGAGCTCTTGTTTAGAAGAGGGGATATATAGCTACGTTACACGTACAATATGCATGTATGAATATTAACCACAAAGGGAAAGCGCTTTTTTAACAAATGACACATATATACACATACATACATATATACATACATACATACAATACATATATGTGTATATACACACACACACACACACACACACACA